GAGGGGGATCTAGCTCGGGATGGACGCCTCTGGGAGGCAGAAGGCATCATGTAGCAGCATGAAGCAAAACCTCCGCACCTCTGTGATCCCTCAGCTCCCCGCTTGTGCGCTCCCCATCCCTGTTTCTGACCAGTAAATGCTTCCTTCTGAGTCAGTCCTGCCCTTCCTCTGCTCGCAGGAGCAGCAAAGAGCTGCTGTTGCAGGCCGGGAGTATCATTTTTTTTAGAAGGTCCTCATCGAGGGCTCCATTAACTCCGTGCGTGTCAGCATAGCGGTGAAGCAGGTGAGGTGGGGGGTGCGGGCAGCGGGCTGGCAGCTCACGCCTGGTGCGGGGGAAGCCTCACTTCCCTTTTCTCTCCCCAGGCCGATGAGATCGAGAAGATCTTGTGCCACAAATTCATGCGCTTCATGATGATGAGAGCCGAGAACTTCTTCATCCTGCGCAGGAAGCCCGTGGAGGTGAGGTGACAGGGAGGGGGCAAAGCAGCTCCCGGCTCTGCTCCTGGCACCGGGGGGGGGCTCCAGTGCGGAACTGGGATGCTAGGTTGCGTGGTCAGTGGCCTGGGTGCTCATCCCCAGGGTGCTTCTCTCTTCCCCAGGGCTATGACATCAGCTTCTTGATCACAAACTTCCACACGGAGCAGATGTACAAGCACAAGCTGGTGGACTTTGTCATCCACTTCATGGAGGAGATCGACAAGGAGATCAGTGAGATGAAGCTCTCTGTCAATGCCAGGGCCCGCATCGTGGCAGAGGAGTTCCTCAAGAACGTAAGGCTCTGAACCAGGAGGAGTCGGGTCCCTTATTTTGGGAGTGGGGTGGGGACTCTGCCCAGGGAACCTCTTGGGGACAGAAGGGAGGGTGCCCAGGGGAGCTCGCACCTCATGAGGTGACAGCTTTGAAACCCCCAGCTTTGAGGCCCCCAGACGGCGCTCGGGGGCGGGCAGCAGCCGGGGGGACGTGGCCCTTCTGGTGGCTGCTGCGATGGGACGCGCAGTCCCTGGGCAAGGCAGCGGGAGAGGCTGAGCGTGGAGCTCCGGCAGCGGCGGCTGCCCTCGGCCTCCCTCCCCGGTGCCAGGAGGGTGACGGCCCAGC